TATTTTCTGTTTTATAAGTACTGCGATTGATAAAAACATACCAGTAGTTCAGTGATTAGGACATTTGACTTTCAAGTTCGAAACCCATTTGGGCTTCTTTGATCTAATCAGAAGGGTAGTAATACTAGTCCTCATACTTGGAGTACTATTCGAATTCAAGAACACTAACATGACTTTGGGCAATGAGGTAATAGAAATAAATACATGAACTTGCTTCATTATTATGCAATCATATGAACAGATATTTTTGTTGAAGCACTGAATACTTCTCACTCATATGTCTAAAAATAGTTTTCAGGGTAAGAGAGAGGGGGGGAGGGAGAATTGTGTTTGTGTCTGATGTAATTCATTAAACTAAGAATTCATCTATAGTACAAAAAGAAAGTAAACGGAACTGATTAGAGATTTTGTTAATTAGTGTTAGTCATCTTCGTCCAAATTAACAAATACCAATTACTTTGTTTCAAAAATATTTATTTTTTTTCTCTACTCCTATCCTATTTTTCATTAATTTATTGATTCTTTATTGGTTTAATGAAACCTGTTTCAGTTACCTATTACTCAATATTGAATTTAAATTACACATAATGTACAGTGCTAAAATTCTCGAAGGTGGTTACTTTGGCTATATTTACTGATGAAGTTTTATGAATTAATATTGTTGCTATTGCCTTATGGAATTCTGTAACATTAACTTTATTATATATGTAAAAGTGATTACAGTTGGCGAGACTATAATTTATGAACGAACCAATCGGATATAAGATAACAGGTTTGGGATTTTGGCGCGAAGTTCATTCATCTATTCGGCTAAATAGCGTTTTGGCATTTTAGCTGATGTCAGTTCGTGATGAAAACCCTGAATCTAATTTTTAACCCTAACCATCAGCTGTAAATCATAATTATGATTCCTCGCATGGGTTTGTAACCTTCATTTAGTTATGGTAAAGGGTGGACGTTCTCAAGGTCAATTTAACGTCGCTCACAGGTCGTCCATAAATTATGGTTCCGCCCATTAATTTGGTATATAATATCTGGAAAATGTGTTTTTGTAGTTTATTTGAGTGAATGCTCATAAAATGAACACTTTAAGTCAATTTTTCGGTTTGCTAAATGTACAAAAAATACTTATTATGTGTAAAGAAAAGCTAGAGTCGATATGTTTTTTCCTATTTTTGCGGTATATTCTTTTGAAAGTTACTAATAAACAGTCGTTAGATAATATGAATATACGATTTATTATTGAAAAATCTTGCCAATGAGTTGACAAAAATTTAAGAAACGAAGTAAGGTAAACCTTGGTGAAAAACGTATTGGCTGTTTGGACTCAATAGTTCTGTGAACAGCGTATCGGAGTTCGGAGCGAAGGGTATTGTGACCGATTACCAATGTCAATGTCATCAATGGAAGGCAGCTACATTCAATCGAAGAGCTCTCGACAGGACAAAACGCGTCCTGGATTCCACTACTAGCCACTATCCATCTTTGTTTATAAGTTGGCTTTTAACCTGAAAGGTCAATTCTATCTCTAAAGATTACATTTAACGATACCTGGTTATCAGTTTTGATTTGTGTTTATTATGGCCAGGTACTATATGCAATAAATATTAATTTAAATTGTCAACAAACTACTGTTTTATTTTTATTAATTCAGAAGTTGTGTTACACTGAACAGTCATTGTAATAACAACATACTCCACAAGCTATCTACCGAACAATCAATACTACTTATTATAAAATCTTTTATTCGTTCGAATTAATAATGAATCGGCAACTGGTTATTGTCATTTAAAAAGAAAAACATATATTTTGCTTACCTTGTACCATCATAAATCATTTCTAAATACATTTCATGTTGTTTGCTTGAATCTTCCCGTTAATGTTTAGGACTGTAATTGATCACTCTCCAATTGGCATATGTGCACACTGTGCGTATTGCCTCGATATAGCCTTAAGGCACAATCTTTTTAAGCAAAGATGGATAGTGGCTAGCAGTGGAATCCAGGACACGCGTTTCGTCCAGTTTGGAACTCGTTAGCTGGATGTACCTGCATCTCAGAGTCGATGTTCACTCTGGGACTCGAACCTAGTACCGTTCGCTTCAAACGCCATCACGTTACCCACTTAGCTACTGAGTCCTGATAGCCACTTGCTTGTGCAATGGGGTGAAGTTTAAATTCACTCGGTATTGTTTACTTGAATCTCCCCGTTGATGTTTAAGACTGCAATTTTAGTGTGTTTTAAGTTTTCAGACGACTTTATCGGCTGATTATTTTTAAGTTGTCGTCCAAAACACTCGAACATGTATGATTATATTTATGTTACAGACATTTGCGTGACTCCGAACTGCGAACCATCTGGATTATTTATTTTCTTTGATCAATTCAGTGGATTTGCTGTTACTGCTTTCTGCGGTTCACTTTCAATTCATGTGATCAGAACTTTCTTTCATCACTAGGTCATCAAAATGTAAAAGATTTTTCCACTCGTTTGGATGCCCATCAAAACTTAGTTTTCATTAGTGATGTTGAATATATATGGCTCGTAAACGTGCTCCATCAACTAGTTCTGATCTTTGTATTAATTCATTCACAAATGACTCAGGAAAACACTGTTGATCCAGCCACTTGTTATCTGAAATTCTGCATTGATGTTTGTTGGCCCAGTGAAAATATTTTTATAAGATTTGATTGACTTACACCTCCACAAATAAAACAATCACGGAAGCAAAAAGAAGGCATGTACAGGAGAGAAACTCTATTGTATTTCGAAAGCTAAATGGTTTAATAAACCAATAGATTAGACGTCCGAATTCGATGTTTGCTCTGAAACTCCTATGTTGCAAACACAATGCAACTACGTGGGAACTATTTAGAGAGCTTACAGGTGGGATATGCATTGGTGACGATACCCAGCTGGATGTTTGTGAGCTAATTAAGTTTTTTTGTACGTTGATCATCTGGTTTCATGCTTCCTATATCCACAAGTTTGAAGAATAGTTGTGTTTCAATTTTATTTGAAAGAGCATATGTATCCATACCAGTTTGCTTATAAATGAGAAAGAAGTACTTTAGATACTGCTGTTGTTCTGCGTTATAATGTAGTGTTCAGTCTGGAAAAAGGTACGAAGTATGTTCCATGCTCAGTATACTGTGCTTGGGGGAAAGTGTTAGACGTCTTTACTACCTCTAGAAGGAGTGCCACATAGAGCTGTTCTCCAATCTTTTTCTTTCATTTTCACTTCATGGCCTGCCATCTTCTATGGAAATCACTTTCGTTAAGTATGCGGATCATATCATTGTATATAAATTGATTTTCACTTCTTCATATACCCGTGAAATGAATGGGTTCTTTCCCCTCATTAAACGATGGTTTGCTGTTAATGGTTTCACACTTAATCCTTCTAACAGTCAAACCGTTAATTTTAGCATGAGACGAGAACAACACTTAAAGGTCCTGTTTGAATCACATAAAGTTTGTACTACTAGAAATTATATAATAAAAACAGCGTCAAAGATAAGTTACCTTAGTGTGGGTTTTATCTTTGATCTCTTTTAATCTTCTCATGTTTCAGTGATATCAAAGAAAGTCTCCTATCTGACTTATTATTATTGAATCTGATACTTACTTTCGCATTACTCAACATTTACTCCTTGCATATTACCTATTATTTCCTAATGTTCTCCATTATTCTTTTCCGAGCTCCTGAAAAAAAAGGTTTTGCTATATTGTAGTGGGTGCTAAAGACAGTTAGCAGGGTGTGTAGTGAATCGTTTAAGGTCATTGCTAATACAGTTGTGGATAGACACCTAAAATCTCGCAAACTCCTGGCAGGCGTTATCTTATCGCAGACGAACCATTCACTTCATTCATATCTTTCTCCCTGTATATATTCCTTTAAAAGACGTGATATTATATTAAAATCCATGCAAGCAAGCAGATATATAAAAGCCCTACAATACCATATCTAGCAAATATACTATGTAACGAATAGGCTGTTCAAGCTGACCCAGTCAATTACTTGTATACATTAACTTGCTTCTAATTAACAGTTGTACAGATTCATATCTTATTTTAAAAAAACATTTCAATTTCAAGTAATTCATTTACTTAATTTGTGTATGTATGCAAGGAGTTATCGGATTTTTTTATTTCGCAAAAGTAACTTGTTGGAAAATTTTGTGCTGGGAATTCTATATTGTGCTAAACATGTAAAACTGAATAGAGCCATTAATAATAATGATGATAATAATGATAAATGAACAAACGCTGTGTATAACTGTGTTTAGATTGGCCTAAAGAGGAAATGTCTTAGCCACATTTACCTTAAGCAGTTAGAAATAGGACTGAGCAGAATACTAAGGTATTCCTCGTTCAACATTGATTTGGAAACGTCGATGGTTCTAAAACTATAATGGAGACGAATGACAGTTATTGAGAGTATTGTTTTGATCATCATTTAAACATTTTAAAAAAGATCATACATATGGATTTGATATTTACAATCAATATTAAGAATCATACGATATTCAATATCTAGTAGTAACAACAGAACAGTATTTAAAATTCAATTCAGTGTAAGAGATGAATAGTATGAGTCTCCTCAGATATTTTCATGGACTAATTAGTTTCTGAACTTAAAGTCTGTAAAGTTGTTAATTCGTTTAAAAAAAGATTTCCGAAACAAGTCAATATCAAAGCATTTTTAAAGAATCATACAAAAGTATGTGATAGGCAAATGATTCAAAGATCCTTATAACAAGATTAAAACAGTAGGCGTAGGTAAATAGATATTCTCTGGCTATTCCGTAAAGATCCTATCTGTACTCAGAGATACATCAAAGGTCACTCATTCGTATATCCATGAAATACAGACAATTTTATCACGAATTAGCAAAAATATACTACTTATTTTAATAAATAATTTTATCAGCATGGCTGAGTTAGTGTTATCGTATTAGTTTGTCTACATGCTTGTGTGTAGTTTTTTTTCTTCACAGTCTATACGAAATGAAGAACTGAGTCGTGAATTACTACATCAGACAGCTGAACAAAAATCTGTATTAACATTTTTGGCAAATAAAAATACAGAAATCAAGACAAAAGAATTGCCCAGATTTGAGAAAGAATTGGATCGTGTTGAAGTTATGCTTGGTACAACAGCGTATCATAAGAAAAATGCAAAAATTAATTCGATTGTGAGTGTTGACCTATATAACATCAGTTTATAGATGATATTCGTCATAGATTGACCTCATCTAATGTATCCTTGAAAGCCATAGAATATTGTGTAATAACCACATTAATAAATAGGTCTAAGAAAAAATCAGCAACTATAATGTAACATTGTTCTTGGGTATTGAATAATCGTATCATATTTGAAGTGCTTAAAAGACGGTTTGCTACCATAGCTTTATCGTTGATTTCCGTCTATTTATGATTGATTCAATGTTTTTTTTAATATAAGAAAGTATATCTAGGTATGGAAGTAACACACTATATATGCTTGTTGACCAACAGTAAATATATAATAATTTGATATACAACAATAAACCACAGTTAATAATAGTTTGACTTAGAAATTACCTATTTTCCAATTACTAAATTGTAGGATCAAATCTCTTTTTACTTACGTCATAATAGGTACCCAACAACCTTGCCAGTGGGACTGTACTCACCATCATAATTGTAGAAAAACTGGTAAGTGCCACAGCAACCAGAAAAAATCCTATGACATTAAGAACGAATAGAAAACTGATATTAGAACTAGGTTTCATTCATTCTCCAAAAAACACTCATTTACAAGTCTATTTTACTGATAATCGATAACTAGTTAAAAAACATCACACATAAATAAAATAAGGGAAATACAAAGTAGATTAGACATAGAGTTGATACAAAATGCATATTACATGTTATATTGAACGTAATATATATGAAATCAATACAATGAATGATAAATTGAATGCCACAGTGAAATAAATGGATTTTATATGGAACAAAATATCATATGTAATTCGAACAGATATTGCACAATTACACTTTCTTAACACTTGATTACATATTATAGACTGTTAGAGATAGTCAGTTTCTCCAGTCACTGGCATTTAAACTAATTAAAACCATGCTCATCATATCACTTGATCACTGAAGTACTTTGTCGTCTTAATAATAAGTAAACTAAAGTTATCTAAAGTCTACTTACAAAAAAATGTCAGTATTTTAAACAATACCGAATTGTTATCGTACATTATTCTTCACTTGATGGAACAATACAAAGCACAATTACATAATAATAATGATGTTGGCACTTTGGTACTTTTATATAATGCCACGAAAGAGGATTCTATCCTTGAAATTCGACATGATTTGCTTTGAAACATTGTTTTTATACACTCAGAGCATCTAGTTCACATTATTAAGTGTTTTTAATTCCGTTAATTTGTACTTCAATGGTATTTTTATGGATTAAAAAGACGGTAGTATATCTTTTATCAACGAGATTTTATTATCCTAAAAATGAATAAGAAGGATTGTTGAAAATATAAGCTCTGATAAAGATTCAGTAGCATCTATCAGTGAGGACTGGTAATTTTAGTGTCAGGAAGAAACAAATGTGTAATTGAATCATTTTTATTATATTGTTAGTTAATGTAGTTAAATTAATTGATCGCGCAAATCATATACATGTACTTGATTTTGATTAGTTCATGTTAACTATTGTCTAGTTCAATATATTCACTATGCCTGCTGACTAGTTAAGTAAATCGTATATAGTTCAGGGTAATTTTGATTCGTCTTTTCAACCAGTGGTTAATTTGTTGTGAATTTGTAGTCAATGCATAAAGGTAACCAGTTTTGCCTTTTTCTCACAATAAATTGTTTCAGTATTCTTCCCGTTCTACGGTAATAAGTAACTAGTTATGTCCACAGTTATCCATAGTAGCAGTATGAGTATTTTGACAAGTCATTACATTGCAAAAACCAATTTGTGAGAAGAAAACACCTCTCGTAATCGATCTGTATTTCTCAGACAAAGTACACGGTTGTTAAATATCCGAAAAAAATCATATATATTCAGAATATTAAGGTTTTTTCTTTTTTTTCAAAGTAGTTTATAATTAAAACAAGTATTCAGCACTCGTTAAAAACAACATCTTCAAATGTAGCTAAAACAGTTAATAGTACCGAACATCAATATCACTTTAGAGCTTTCTTCTAAGCAATTCTTAACCAATTCACACTAAGTGAAGTAGAGCAGAATATTAACTTGTGTAGAGTAATTATTAGAATGAAATTAATACGATTGAATCCAATATAAAATGACTAGACAGTAATATTCGCCATATACAACTTGATTGTCATGTACTTTTATTAGTAAGCATAGATGTTATTAGTTATATAATCCCATAACCTTGACTGAATGAAGTCTATTCAAAATAAGTACTGTCTCAGTGATAGTCTGAATCTAGGAGGGATATGGGTCAACGATGACATAATAGACACTAATTTGTTCGTATCTGATGTCCATAAAACTAGATTACATAATCGTAAGTATAATGGAAGTAAAACGTGATTTAATTGAGTGATAGACGCCAAAATTAGATGGATAACGATAAAAATCACTAAGCAACTTTCAAATATTACCTAACAAACTTTTCATAGGTGAATTTTCAGTGATAATGAAGTTAACACTGTCTCGTTCTAGGTCAATCCTGTTAATGATTTAAAATGAACGACATCAGTTTAGATCTTAAAAATGATACCAGGTTTTCATGAAGATTTATAACAAACACAACAACTATGACCTTCAATAAGGAAAGAAGAAATGTGGTGATTTATCCAGGGTTTCGGTTAATTACTATGAAATTGTTAGACAACAGACTAGTTGTTTACTTAGGTGACTATTGTGAACATTTTCATTCACATTTACACAAACATTATTATGTTAGGAGATCGAAGGAAGTCGGCAGGAAATCATGAACCTAGGTTTCGTTTCCCTTGGCACTCGTCAGTAAGATGTGTCTTTAGTCATATGAGGACTAAGGCTCTCTGGTGGATTATTCCCGGCGCCACCTGGTTTTGTAGTTTGAGACGTCGTTACTGAGCTATTCGGGTCGTGACTGACACACTTACAAATTATTGATCACAAAGCAATGACCAAGTTAATGTTTCTCAGGTTCTTCCTTTAGTGCAAATTGAGATACGGTCGCTAGTTTATGTGAACCAACATCACGTGTATTGTGTTAAGGAGATATTAGGTGTTTGTGTTATATCCTAGGGAAGATCAAATCACGAGTAACTTCTGAGACATTAATTAACTAATATTATCTATATATTCTTATGGTATAACTATTCAGTAATTAGATTGTGTATATTTATATTCATCTTATAATAAGCTTCGTTTTGACCTGTAGATTATTATTGTATGATTTACTGTTCTTAAGTTATACTCAGTTTATTGATTACTGTCTCCCACGTTCACAGCCACCTTTTAGCTTTATTGTGTACAAATGTTATTTTCTATTTCATGATGTGTTGCGGTCTGTTTGGTTGATATATAGACCCAGTATGTTTGAAATAAATGATTCGCATAATGGAAACTGGTATTGGTTCTCTGTACTCAAGTGGACGAACTAGACGGACATAGGATCAATTAGGCCCGACCGTTGTTGCTACCTTGACGTGGTGGTCGGGCTTGCCTATCATGATGAAGCAACCGAGCTATACTGGCTGGAACAACTGTTCCTCAAGGTTCTACCATGTCAGGCAGGTTGGTTGAAGAGCGGTAAGACTAAAAGCAACAAACCCAAAGTCCGAAGGCGAAGTCGTACTGCTGACTGTACAGAGGTGTGACAACAGTAAGGTGTTTCCTTCAGACAACCAGCATGACAGAGATGCTGCCTTCCCACAAGGGGGTGGGGTTAGAAAAGGTCAACCCTAAAAATGCACACCTTTCCTTATCCCACGGATATCCGTCTCCGGCGGTAAGGTCTCAACAAGTACGGGGCTAACACAAAAATTACCCATAAAAAGGTCGTGTGTGACCGACCTCAAGCAGTTGTCCCTTGGGCACTGCGGTCACGCTCCCAGGTCACTAAGACCACCTATAATCTAATTTCCTTTTCAGGTACCTCCAGAGGAACCCTTCCACAGTGTGGGCAACCGGGAAGTGATAACCGCCCTCATAGCTCTAACAGCACTCAAGATCACTGTATTCATAATCAACTTCCGTCGTCACTTCCTATTATTGCTCCTACAGCGACTTTCATCTCTAAAGTTCCTTTTTCGGCTTCCCCCTCAAGTGTCACCATAGCCAACGATTCTAGTACTCAAAACACTGTCCCAGGTCTACTGAAACCTCGCTCCAAACTACACATTAGAGCCTTCAACGTACACACCTTATGTCAAATCGGTCAACAGGCTTCCTTGGCTAAAACCCTAGAATCTCGTACCATTGATGTGTGTTGTGTTTCCGAAACACGCATACAGGATTCCAGTGTGGTCATTCACTTGACCTCATCTCGGCAAAACGGAGAGCCAACGAGATACACCCTCCGTGTATCTGGTGACCCGATGGCCAGCTCTCGTGGACTGACAGGAGTGGGGATAGCACTAAGCATGAGGGCGGAACAAGCACTGTTAGAGTGGATCACCGTTAACAGTCGTTTATGTGCTGTTCGGCCAAACGGCTCCGTAAGAACTCGGAAGGATAGGGACACACGTCTTTGCCTTTTTGTCGTTTCTGCCTACGCTCCCACCGACTGCAGCTCAGATGAAGTGAAAGATGAATTTTACAGACAGCTATTTGAACTTCTTCAGAAAGCTAAACGTTCAGACATAGTACTCGTAGCAGGTGACTTTAATGCCCAGATAGGTAGTTTAAACCAAACAGAAAGGCATTTAGGTGGGTATTTTAGTATACCGGCACAACGAACAGATAATGGTGATCGTCTGCTGCAAATATGCTCAGACAATCGTTTATTTTTAGCAAACAAAAACTTTAAGCATGAGGAAAGACATCGTCTAACATGGCGAACCCCTACACCAAACCAACGATGAACTCAAATAGACCATATTGCCATCAGTCATCGTTGGAGAGGGTCGTTAGAAGATTGTCGCTCATTTTGGAGTACCTGCTTGGACTCCGACCATGCCCTAATACGGGCACGCATCTGCTTGCGCCTCACTGGACGCA